TGGTCAACTGATCGGCAGCTGATAGACAGAATGGTGGTGGGTTTTTTGTGTTTTTGTGTTATTTTTATTACAAAGGACAAATAAAAATGGGAAAATGTTCATCAATCTGTATTCGTCAGGACTTAAAATCTGATGAATATGGATCAACGAATATTTAACGAATCAACTATTTTCATCAAAAAAGTTGATCCTTTTTTATATTTGTCCCCATCTCTAGTAGGAATGTTCTGAAGACAAAGTACTGTAGTTTGATTGGCTGATTTGATTTTAAGCTAGTTTGAAAATGCCCGAGAGGTTTGCTCCCAGGAGCTTTCCCTGATTTATGTAACGCTGCTACCTGATTATTAAGACAGTTGCTAGATTTGCTAGATTCAGATGTTATTTCTTGATCCTGCTGGCCAGGGCAAGCATAAGTAAATGTCACAGGCAATCAAGCATGTCGCAGTCAGACAACTCCAGATATTGTTGGGTTAGTTGGTCATCTTAATCCATATCAATCTGGATTCAGGACAGAAGCTGCCTTGGTCACTCTCATGTATGATCTGTGGCAGAAAATACAACAGGATGTTTGCTTTATCTTTTAAATAACTTTTGATACCATCAGCTGTTGTAGCTTCTTGAACCACATTTCAGGATTGGTATTGGCTGCCAATTTGTTGTGGTTCTACCTCTTTCTGAAGTCAGGTTCTAGAAGTTAGTGCTGGGCGACTCTGTTTCTTCCCTGTGGAAGTTATTATTTGGGGGTACTTGAGGTTTAGTTATGTGCCCCATAATCCAAATCAGAGCTATTTTACACTGTAACCAACAGCAGACACCATGGCTAATTCCAAACACTTGTCTGCAGTCTGTGATAAATTGGGTCAGGATTAACAAATACAACTTCCATCTGAAGAAATTTTCAAACACTGCAGGATATTCAGTGCTTTCTTGGATAAAAACCTGCTCTGGACAGGATTAGTCTCTCTGGTTAGCGGGGGGGGGGNTCCGGTTGAGGGGGGGGGGGGGGCTAGAAAAGATGCCATGGTGGGATGGAATTTGGACAAGTTACTTTTTGAATTATACATCCCAGAATCCCACAGCCAGCATGACCTATTGTCCATTCTGGGAGTTTTAATTGGCAAAATAACAGTCCTGGCACTGGTATGAGAGGTGCTAGACCAGGTTCTCTCTCTGAGCCCCTGTCTGAAGTAGTAATAGAAAATTACCTTTCATCAGACCCATAACCAGTATAACAACTTCATCTGTTACTGGGAGATAAATACACAGTCACTGCTCCAGCTAGCCAATTATTCTCCAGTTACATGGCTCTCTAGCTGTTTCATAATACAGAATCCAAAAACTAATTTTCTTGTATAATAATTTTCTTGAAGCCACTACACTGGCTACTTGACCTAGTTCCAAATCTAATTCTTGTGGCTGGCTTACCCTTAAATGCCCCAATGGCTATGGCTCTGGTTTTGTTAGGGATGCCTTCCTCTCTAGCATAAAGTCCTCCGATGATTCTGATTTGCCAGTGAGACCCTTCTAAAAAATCCTGGAACATCTGAAGGCTAAATTAGCCTCCTCACCTAAAAGCAGAGCGGTTGCAGGCAAAATGCTGGAATCACTTTCAGCAGAGGATTCATATTCTTCCATCTTAATTTTTCTCCTTGGAAGCAGGATTTTTAACCTGATTTTTTAAAATTTGAAAATGAAGTAAATTTATTTATTTATTTATTCTGTTTATAACCCGCCTATCTACTGTAGTTGATTAAAACCACTCTAGGCGGCTTACAACAAGGGGTACGACAATGAATAAAAGCAGTTTTACATAAAAGGAGACTTTTAACAATTGGGTTAGACACTAGGAAAGAAAAGGGGAATCAGGAATTAACTAGGGGGGAAGGCCTGCTGAAACATCAGTGTTTTTAGTTGATTTTTGAAGATATCCAGCGAGGGGGATATATAACAAATAAACAAATAAATATAAACAAATAAACACTGTGAGCTTACTTTTAGAACTAGAAAGGTAAACAATGCATCACAGTGCATCTGTGGATGGAATTGATGCCATATTAATTGTTAGTGCAGAGTTTCCTAAGAAGGTGTTTATTGTTTTGTTTTTGAAACATGTTACTTATGCTTGTGCATTTGCATTTTTAGCATTATATTCCAATTAGGTCACCTGAGGACACTGCCACATTGACTATTTTATAGAGGTTATGGATTAGTAGCAGCAGGAAAGAAGGATGTTGGAGAATAAGTGTGAAATGAAGTTGATGAATCAGCAGGTGGAGCAGAGGAGAAAACAGCAGTCTTGTTGATGGTTTCTTTTATTCTTGTTTCACAAGGCTGTTTGAACCATTTGAATAACAAATAGTAGAGATATGCAAAGATTCAGGAAATAGTTAGCAGCTGAGTACTTTGGTATTTGTCAGTACTGATGTCACAAACTCTACATGCCTCTCAACTACCACCAGTTGATTTCATCAGCAATACCTATTATTAATGACAGATGTCCAGGCCATATGTCATTTTAAAAGAACCAAATAGAAATTGTTCATTGATACAGGTGTTGACAGAACAAGCAGTGTTGTTAACTTTTAAACAAACATTCTTCTTTATCCACCCTCCACCACCATTCTCCTATCCAAACTCCAAAACTCCACCAAACCCTCTAACTCAGTGGTCCCCAAACTTGGGCCTCCAGATGTTCTTGGACTACAACTCCCAGAAGCCTTCACCACCACCTCTGATGGCCAGGATTTCTGGGAGTTGAAGTCCAAGAACATCTGGAGGCCCGAGGTTGGGGACTAGTGCAAGTCTAACTCAGTGGTTCTTAACCTTTGTTACTCGGATGTTTTTGAACTGCAACTCTCAGAAACCCCAGCCAGCACAGTTGGTGGTGAAGGCTTCTGGGAGTTGCAGTCCAAAACTCCTGAGTAACCCAAGGTTAAGAACCAGTGCTCTACTAACACTATAATTCTCCATCTCAAAACCCTATCTAAACCTTATCTAAACTCCTCCTGCTGCTGCTAAATCTCTTACACCTCATGACCCCACCCCTCCAGCACTCCCATTGGTCTAGGCAAATAGCATATGAATATTTATAATCTGGGCAAATACCACACAGACATTATCTTTACAGTTCCCTCCCACATTAACATCATTATTACACCTCAAACAGCAACTGTGCTATGAGAGCAGGAGAATTCTCCCCTCCCAGCATGCATCTGTTTGTGTGTGTGGCAATTTGAATGCTGGAATTCCAGCACTCAGCTCTGTCTGTCCCAGTCGCACCTAGCTTAGAGCCATTCTCACAAAGAAGCACCAGCCATGCTTATATTGATCAAATCCCCGTTCTTGAGTTCTAAATTTTTTTGGAACAAATTTTATTGCTCAGCTGCTGTTTTAGCAAAGCAGGACCCAAAGCTATAATCAGAACTGGAAGAATTGCACTCACTGCATCCAATAGTCTTTAAATTTGATTTCTCCCAGAGAGCAACATATACACACAGCAAACAGCTTTTAAAATGAAGTCCGTTTCAAACACAATTTGTGATTTGGCAAAAAGGCCCATCAGTTCAAAGTGAAAAACTGACCAAGCACATTCCAGCCTCTGAGAATGCCTAGAGTAATGTTTTGAATCTTGGCCCAACCCATCATCTGTAATGTTTGGCTCTAACATTAAGTTGTATTCCTCTTCCCAAAAATACTTAAAGTGACTTATCGCTGTTAAAATTCTCTAGTGCCAATAGTAATAGCAAAACACAAGCCTATTTCTAACATGGTATATGTATTTATATTGCTTATTTTAGTACTGTGGCTTCCTTGGGAAAAGCGAAATGAAACTAAGAGTGCAAAGAGAAGGAGAAGCAGAAAAGCAGCAAAAATGGAGATGGAAATATTACTACAACTAGATAATGAGAAGAGCAATGCTATTGATCAATACCTCCTGAGCGGAGATGAGAAAGTAAGAGGCAAAATTGTAAACACTGCCGTAGTAGTAGTAGTAGTAGTAGTAGTCTAAACACTGCTGTAGTAGTAGCAGTAGTAGTAGTAGTAGCAGCAGCAGCAGCACCACCACCACCACCACCACTCTGTCAAGTCACTTTTGACTTACCTGTATAGTAAACCATTCCAGTGTCTTCTACGTAGAGAGTATCAAGAAGTGATTTTCTATCCATTTTTAATTGCTTTCTTCTGGGGACTCTCTAGGATTCTGCAGCTAGCCCAAAGCTACACAGGTGGGCACTTCTTCCAAGAGGCACAGTAGGGAATGGGACTTCCAACCTCTAGCTCTGCAGCCAGGTCTTCAATCATGTGCTCCCTCCTTAGCAATTCCAACATGGGTTGTAGCTCTTGGACTTCTGGCACATCTGAACAATGGATCTTTGCCCTGCTGGGATCACCTGTTCTTGATTGAATACAATTGCTGGCTTTTCAATTAAGTGTATCTTAACACTGACATCAACATAGACTTAGTATCATCATGATTTATAATATAATAATAACAATTGAATAAGAAATTAGATATTCATGTGTTTGCTTCATTTAGATGCTAAGCTGGTAATAAGAAGTGGTTTACCATTTCCTTCTTCTGGAGGCACCCTGGAACTGTGCAATGAGAAATCAAACTCCCGAAGTATAGCTACACAGTTAGATACCTAAATCACTGATAAACTGATAGTGTTTTTATCTAAATTCTGATTTGTGATGCAAACCATCTTGGTGTATTTTTTTAAAAAATAGTAGTTAAAAATGATAATAAGAACTTCAAAATAGGGAGTTGAATGCAAAATTATGAGTTACCCCTTCGTTTTACAGATACCCATGACTGGTATGACTGGCATTTTGACATAGAGAACTGCAGCTAAGCCCCTTTATACAGATGCAAATTGACAAAAGATGGCCAAAATTATGAGTTACCCCTTCATTTTTCAGATACCCAACCATTCATTTGACTGGCATTTTGACATAGAGAACGGCAGCTAAGCCCTTTTATACAGATGCAAATTGACAAAAGATGGTAACTGAAGACATTTTGTGTGAAAACACATTTGTGTCCAGTATATTTTAAAGAAAATGCATTCCACTCTCTTTTTAGGTAGCTGTGTGTTCCTATTATGCACATCACCTCTCTGTGTTCAGCCTGGAAACCATGTCCCATTTGCACACTCTTGAGAGCAGAGAATCCATGCTTTTTTTGCATAGTGCTGACTTGACCTATAATGGCCATTACTTGGTTCTGCCTAATTACAATGAGGATGAGAATGTCAGCTATGTAACGTTATGGGATTTAGCCACCGGAAAGGTATCATTTCTGAAATATTTTTACAGTGTTATACCTTTGCAGTTATGAAGAACAGTTGTTTTAAGTTTACAAGGGATTCTTTCCAAACTAATACTGTACAATTTCCACCAAGCACCACTTTCTTTCAGGATCTGCTTATCACTTTTAAAAATGGTTGTTACAAAATTATCCCAGTTCTAATGTTCTCTTGTCATTCCTCTCCCAAACCAGACATACAGGGACATGGATATACCTCCAGTTTCCAGTCTCTAGAGCTTGCAACTAATTACATGTTAATAGTTACGTGTTGTTAATTTCATGTTTTAATAATAGAGATATAGCTGCATTAAAATCCACTTGTAACTTAATAAGAGATAGCTTCATTCCTTTCTTGGCATAAGTGTAACTGATGTTTCTAAGTTACCTTTATATTAATGGCAATGTGGGGTGATTAAACAGGGGGCGTTGTACATCTCAAGGTTGTTGTTTAAATGGTTTTTAAACCATATTAACTCCCTGTCTGGAATCCAGTTCACTGTGGTGAAGGGTAAAATTACACTGGCATAATTTTGCCTGGGCAAAATGGACATAACACTGAGTTATGTCTATGTTGACACACAACAGGATTTTGGGTTTCTTTTAATGTAATCTTTTAAATAGTATTTTAGTACTGTGATTTACTATAGTTTTTAGCTGCTTCGGTTTTTAAAATTTAAATTTTAAAAACCACCTTGGGCCCTGCAAAGGGGAAATAAATAAGTAATGGTAGTGGAATAACAGTAGATTTTTCAGGTGCAGCCATGTATTATATATTGGGTGTTGCAGTGACAAGATTGATGTGTGAGATTGTGTTTTCCACAATGAGTGGTTTGTAATACTCAGATGTGCGATTTTCCAATGAGCAATTTTTGGTATTAATGTCAATTAAAGATCAACTGTTTTAATTACTTTTTAAGTAAGTTAAAATATATAAAATGTCAAAATAAAAACTAATGTAGAAATGATGCAATGGAAACTGACTGTACATTTCCCCTTGGAACTGAAACTGGAACACCTTAATTTTTGACAGCAACTTTTAACAGTTCTGCCAACTATAGGATACCCATTTGTTGAAGCAATCTCTTCAGTTGTCACTCAATGAAGCACTGCTTTAGCTAGCCACCTGTGACTACCATTGGAAAACGATAGCCCTACATAGTAGGATAAGTTATCTGTACATTACCCTACAAAGGGATGTTAGTGATTAAAGAATATATTTCAATTTTATATCTCTTCTGAAAAAATATAGGTTAGGAAAAGATTAAAAAATGAACCAAATGTCTGCTGTACAGCCATTAGTGCAGATGGTAGCAGGATAATTTTTGGAGTGATGCTGGAAAACAGGTAAGTGAAATGGCAAGAATGTATAGCTTCTTGTGCCCGTGTTTGCCTAGTAATAATTCAGTTATTTGGAACTAAAATTTGAAGCAGTTTTGTGGCATACCACAAATGTACAACTTTTAATAAATCCAGTTTTTCCTCCTCCTCTTTTTTGAAAATATATCTCAATAGCCAGGCAGCGTAGACCCCCATATGCAGTTTTTATATACATTCAAGGCTGACTTAGCCTCCCAGAAATCACCTAACTGGCCAGGTCAGTCAAGGCCATTGATCAATCACATTGAGTTTCCATCTCTGGGAGCTGTCCAGTGCCCTGCTCACCTGAAATATAAATCAGTCTTCCTTTATTTTCATCTGTATAGCAAAGAGACAAGAACTGCCTAAAAATTCAAGGAGATTCAGGGCTTCAGTGTATTGTTGGTACGGTAGGATCCTGGTAAGTTTAGTTAGAGACCGGCTACATAGGAGTTTATCCTGCTCTGTAGCCCCCTGCTGTAATGGTTGGGATTGCTCTGAAAAATGTCAACAACAGGCCATTCTTGTTAGAACATTCCAGCCCATTCCTAATATTATTTTTACCTAACTGATGAAGTGATGGAATATCTACATAATGCCTTTTTAATATTCAGTGCTAGGAGACCTCTGTCACGCATCCCCAGTGACCGCTGTGTGTTTTGCCCCTCACCCAGATCCACCTTTGGACACAACTTGTCCTTTTCCCCTTTTTCGCTGCCACCAGAGGATATTATCCTCACTATATCAATTATGAGTCTCACACTCTTGCTGCCAAATAAAACAAGGTTTATTTAAGGATAAATAAGTGAATCACAAAAGGAAAATCATGGATGTTCTATTATCATTCATTCATTAAACGTAGATTTGATTACTTATAAGCTTGCTTGTACTCATTTACTTTAATCAATACCTCAATATTTTCTGACTGTCAATGTACTTCTACTTCCTTTTAACTCTTTAATATTCTCTAACTAACCAACTGTCCAATATCTAGTCTAAACACTTCACAGTCTCCTCCCTAACTTTCTAAATGCTTCACCATCTTTTCCCTAACTGACTCCCTGTCACACACAGTTCTGTTGACTCTGCCCCTCCTGTCCTGTCATAGGCTCCTGCACTAGAGCTCTAAAATGACTGACAGGAGTGATGTGTGGGCTGTCCGCCACAACCTTCACCTGGAAGCACTCTCAAAAGTTGTTTCCTACGGATCAAACTACAGCTTGCAGTGTGTCTCATAGCCCCCCTGAAGAACTGTAGACAAAATTTGTTTAATCTACATGATCAGGAAGGACAGGATTGTCCATTTTACTTGCAGAGTTGTTAACTTCGCTAAGCTTGTCCTTATTTTCTATTGCTTGGTCAAATGATCTCTCAATCAGTTAGGCAGTTCTGTTTATTTATTTAAACTATTTTTACCCCACCTTCCTTCTTAAAAAGACCCAAGGAAGTGACATGGGCCAATTCCTTGAAAGCTACTTGTGTACATGACCACTGAACAGACTTTTGTATCATAACTGAAAATGATGGAATGAAGTTAGTTTGAAATAAATAAGTCATGAAAAAGTGATCCAGACTTTGTAAGAATTAGTTATTCCATATAGGTGAACCATTAATATCCCTAAAATTAGAATACTCAATTCCTTTCTGAAGACCGGGTTGAAAAGAGCTGCCTCAGGTTCTTTTAAAGGAGAAAGGCAGGATACAAATGTTTTAAATAAATAATAAATATTTTTTTTCATCATTTGTTTACAGAAACTGTTTGTGCAAGGTACCTGATGAAGTTTCCATTTCTTGATTTCCAGGCTAAAGCTTTGGGATCCATTTAAGCACAGACACAAGTTACTTCGAGGTTATGAAGGTCTCGGTCTTAGTGTGAAGAGCAAACTGCACATTTTAGATGAAACAAAGGCTGTCCTGCTAGCAGGTTTGTTAAGCATTTGTTTTGAAGTGGAAGCCTTTGGAGAGGGGCGAGAAAACATAAATCCTTGACATCACATTTAGAAGTATTATTTTGATTACATTTAAGGTTATAATCAACGTTCCCTCTAATTTTCCACCAATGCTGAGCTGGGCCTCTGCCCTGTACATGGGGTGGTGGTGTTTCCAACCATTACTGGAACCAATTGAGCAGCAACACTGGCTATGGGTGTGCAGCACTGATGCACCACCATGCAACCATGCACCCGCACAGCTTAGAGTGAACGCTGGTTTCAATCAATTCAATGCAATGAAGTACTGGCAACTGACTTTCCAAAGGGAGTTTTCAACTTGCCATACAGAACTGCTGGGAGTACCCAATATGCCCCACCTTGTCTATTTGACACAGTTCTTTCACAGGATTACAGCAAAATACTAATCAAAATTCAGGCAAATTCAACCTGTCTTAATTTTCAGTATAAAAGGTAAAGGTTCCCCTTGACAATTTTTGTTCAGTCGTGTTCGACTCTAGGGCCGGTGCTCATCCCCGTTTCCAAGCCATAGAGCCAGCATTTTGTCCGAAGACAATATTCCGTGGTCATATGGCCAGCGCAAGTTAGACATGGAACACTATTACCTTCCCACTGAGGTGGTCCCTATTGATCTACTTGCATTTGCATGCTTTCGAACCGCTAGGTTGGTGGGAGCTGGGACAAGCGATGGGCGCTCACTCCATCGCGTGGATTCAATCTTACGACTGCTGGTCTTCTGACCCTGCAGCACAGGCTTCTGCGGTTTAGCCCACAGCGCCACCACGTCCCCAAATGTTCAGTATAAGACTTGGAATATTCATAAAAGTGGATTCTTGGGTTGTAATCCAGGATTTTTCAGGGTTCAATAAATTTATACATAGTAAAAACTGAAAAACAAAACCCAAATCTTATGAACTAGTCCGGATTTGTTTGGCAAGGATCTATTTCTAAATCATGCTTAATTTGCTATTAACTATGTTTAAGTGTATTTTCCTACTTAAAGGAATGCAAACCATAGTAATAAACCATGGGTATATTTTTATATTTTTGCATAAGCTTATGTGCCCTTTAGACTGAAGAGCTCTGCCTGCCATGATATTAGAAAAACATTCTAACCAAAGTTGATTGTAGGATGCAGCCAAAGAACAATTTGCTAAAACAGAAGCATGTTCCATTATAACAAAATAATTTTATAGATGTGATATTCTCATCAGTGATTCAAGAGGTAAATAAAGAGGACAATATGATTAATGTCATAATTCCAAAACCAAGTCCACCTTCTTCACTATTTAAAAAAAATCGTATTTCCATTGCAGAACAGAAAGGTAAAAACTGCCTCTGGATTAATCACTTTTTCAGCACTTCACTTTATGATAGTTTTAACTGTCTTCTATCTTCAGTTACAACACAGAAAAAGAAATTCAGGCTAATTGAATAACGTTTTTCCTATAGCTATATGGCAACTATTTTAAAATTTAAATTTAATTTTGAATAGGGATCATATTTTAAATAACAAGTCTGAAGAAATGTTAGCCTTAGGTGTATTCTCAGACTCTCCTTTGCAAGTCAAACACAGTGAGCTCTTTCAAATCTTTTGTCCCCACTATGAGTAATAACAGAGGCTATGGCATTACCCTCCAAATATCCATCTCAGTTTCTCATTTACATGTCCCTACATCCTGGCTCATACATGAGCCAGCAGCTTTTGTGCATAAGGAAAGAAAACTCTGCCAAAGGCTGGAGTAGATATAGCTATGTGAAAAAGAATGTACACCCTCTTTGAATTCTTAAATAAATCATGACACAGTGTGAATAGGTTCATCTCCCCGTTGGGGCAGCCCCTCAGTTTCAGCGGGAAATGACAAAGGAGTCATTTTGATAACTTTCAAACTCTCTTCTTTATTTACACCTACATCCACCAGCACATCACTTATGGGATCAAAACCTTTCAACTCTGGCAACAAGCCACAACTATCAGAAACAAAACTTTTCTCATAGCCCCAAGGACTCAGCGGCGGGACCCCCCACACCATTCCTGATGTTTTGGTCTCTGGAGAGGGGTGCTCCGCAGTGCACAAATTGTCCCACAGCATGGGTGCCGCACCCACCCTCTCTCATCAGGTTTGTCGTGGAACGGATTATGCGAGACCTCCGACTCATGCTGTAGCTCTAATTCGCGGGGTGCAACGATCACTGCCCATTCTCTGGTCACGTAATGGGCTGGTCTCTCTTTCTCTGTCTCTGGGTCTGGCAAAAAGTCATAACACCTGGAGGTTTGGAAAGTCTCTCACAAGGCTCTGTGTTTGGATTCTCTCAAACACCTCCTTGCGTTCCTCTTGTCTTTTTCTCTCATAATCCGCCACTACACTACTAAACCATCTCACTCCCTCCTCATTTATATCCTCCTCCCAAACTGACACTTCTTGCTCCACCCATTCCTTCTATCAATTCCTCTGTCAAACAGACCTTTGTTTTTCCCGCTTTCATTTGATTCTACTTCTCCCGCCTTTTCTTTAACTGTCATGTTTTTAGTAGCATTGCCACTTTAATATTTAAACAAATTTTTACACACACACACACACACAATTTTTTTTAAAAAATATGGATTATGCCTGAGTAGAAGACAGCATACCCAAATAATATACAGGAGTAAAGGTGTCAGGCTGAAACTGTTAAACAGGGGAACACAAGCTTAACGCAGACACCTTTTTCTCCAAATAATTTCATAAATGTACTTAGATTCAACTATGCACTTTCATAAACTTGAACTTACTTATTGAACAGCTTATTTCAAATTCTGATGTGGAATCCAGGTGGAAGTTTTCACTGTAGAAGTATCATGAGAAATGAATTAGCCTAAACATTCTACAGACTAGATTATTCAATGTTAGGAAGCTGTATCAGGTGACAAATGCATAAAGAAACATATGTTTTGCAGCTGTGAAAAGAGAACAGACATTTCAGTGTGGTGTCCAGGAATTAAGACACAATTCAATATTATGTATGTTTCCTCCCTTAGGTGAGGTCAGTCTCTGGGACCTGGAAAGGGGCACTGTTATATCCATCTTTACACCAGACAGCAAAATCTCCTGCATGACACTTGCATTCGATAGAAAGTCAATTCTTTTAGGTTTCAGTGACAGCCCTACTCTCATCACTTTGAAAATGTTAAGTGTCAACACTGCCGCCACTTTCCCAGGAACAGATTTGTTTGGAGAAGAATCCTCAAGCAGCGAAGAGGAGCCTGAAGGCACTTAAAAGCCACATTGTCAGAGAGAGGAAGAACTCAGTGTAAGCGAATGAAAATTGTGTGCTAGATCCAGTGTTTTAAGAATAAAGACAAAACACACCTATTGGTTGTGAGAGTCATTATAAAATATTTTATAGTTGGAATCTTCCCCTAGTTAAAACAAAATTCTAAATATCATCTTGCGAATAGCTTTGTATGTTATCAAGAGCTAATATATAATGATCCAAATATTTTTTAAGTAAAATAAACTGTGAGGGTTAAATAACACACTTGGATCACTGGTGCTGTTTTTATCAGTTCCAAGGACTTGCTGCAACCTACACAAGATAAAATCTTTTAGCAAATAGAGAAATAGGATCACAATAACCCTTTTTAAAGAGGGTTTAAAATGTCTTTGGAATTACAGATAAATAATGTGTGCTTGACGAGATATTGTAAAAGCAGCAAAAGGATTATAGAGTTTACTCATGATAGCTGGAAATGATTCCATTTTGAAATTGATATAATAAACATGAAGCTTCAAATGAGCTATTGGTATTTTAAGACCTGTTTATTGCAAAAATTGTTTAATTAAAATTACCAAGATAAATTGGTATTGTCAATACAATGTTCTTTTAAAATGCTAAATGTAGGTAAGATTCATACATCACTCTTAGTGACATTTTATTATCTAATTGTTAACTAATTAGATTAACCCAATTCAGTTGGTATAAATATCACAAACTGTGGATTAAATCCAATTGTTAGCAATGCTAAAGTAGACCCATTGAATAAAAGGAATTTACATCTGTGCACTGCTGACTTATCAAATTCCTGTGGATCTACTCTAGTTGGGACTAACAACTAGAATTAGGCTTCTGAGTTTTAAAAATGGGCGCCTTTGCTTCCATCTTTCTTTGGTTACAACAGGATAGCTCAGTGGTTTAGGCATCTGGAGTTCAATTCCTCACTGTGCCTCCTTGACAAAGGCTAGACTACATAATCCATAGCATCCCTTTCAACTCTGCATTTCTAAGATTAAAGATTATCTTGGCTTCACTTGTTCTCTGTATAAATGCACTGGCGCATGTACTTAGCCATGTCTTTCTATACAGCTGACTATATGTGGAATAATCACCGCTTTCCAAGGCAGTACTGGTTCTGTACAGTGCTGCCTCGCTTGATGATGTTAATTCGTTCCAGCGATATCACTGTATAGTGGCGCCTCGCTTAACGATTGCCCTGCATTACGAAGAATCCGCTTTATAATGATCTAAAACGATGGTCTAAATGGGGGAATTTCGCTTTGCGACGATCGGTTCCCTGCTTCGGGAATCGATTCTTCGCAAAATGATGTTTTTTAGACAGCTGATCGGTGGTTTCAAAATGGCCACTGGCTTTCAAAATGGTCCCCGCTGTTTTCTAGGGACGGATTCCTCACTATACAGGCAGCGAAAATGGCTGCCATATGGAGGATCTTCGCTGGACGGTGAGTTTTTACCCCATTGGAACGCATTGAATGGTTTCAATGGGTTTTTTATTTTTGCTTTACGATGTTTTCACTTAACAGCGATTTTCCTGGAACAGATTATCGTCGTTAAGCGAGGCACCACTGTAGAGCAAAAACACCGTCAAACAAAATAAAAACACACTGTCAAACGGAAAAAAACCCTGCTCGTCCAGCAAAAATCCTCCATATGGCGGCCATTTTCGGTGCCTATAAAGCGAAGAATCTGTCCTAGAAAACAGCAGGGGGCCATTTTCTTCAGCCAACGGCCATTTTGAAACCCAACGATCAGCTATTTGCTGATCATCGTAAAGCAAAAATTGGTTCCTGAAGCAGGGAACCGATCATCGCTAAGTGAAATTCCCCCATTTAAACCATCATTTTTGCAATCACAAAAACGTCAACGTAATGCGGATTCGTCGTAGAGCAGGGTAATTGTCCAGCGGGGCACGACTGTACTTGCTGTGTGATGACATGATTCCAGTTCTCTGATGTTTATTGAAATATGCTACCATATTTTGACTCCACCAAGCACCTTCAGTATTTTAATATACATACTGTTTTAAAATTAATACATATTTCTCACTGTACCATTTGTTACATTGTCATGTACAGCTAACTTTTAATAGGTTTGTGCAGCACAACACAGAACACAGTGCATTCAGTTATTTAAATTACATTTGCTGGCTACCTTCCCCTCCTTCCTGTTCCTATGGAATATGTTGCTACGTTTAAGGAAACAAGAAAAGAAGAATGTTAATTTGTCAGAGCCCTGATTTACCCTGGCCTTACAAGGCTTCTTGCTGTTGCCGGACTCTTGCATACATTCATGAAGATTTGTAGAACTTAAAAGATGTTTGTGAATATCATATTGTAGCGAACAGCCCTGCCCTCACCTGTCTGTCACCGCAGAGCATTGAAGAGGGAGCCTATGAGTGGCCGGAAGGCGGAGCCAAAGGGGGAGGGAGCTGGATATAAAGACTGGTGTATGCAGTCTGAGAGATTTTCTGAGAATGAGAGACTGTGTGTAACCTGAATGTGTCTGGAAAGTGAGTTAGAGATCTGTAAGAATGATAATTGAAACAGAGGGTTAAGAGAGTTTTAAAGTTATATCCGATATTATTCAAATACAAGTGATTGGCAGCCTGTGATTTATACCATGAATATTCATTGTTTATTTACTTCCCTGATCAAATAAATGACTTATGTTTTGAACAGCACACTTGTCTCTGTAAGTAATTGATATTAAAGAATTAATATCTGGTGGCAGCAAAGAAAGAAGAAGAGCGAGAACCTTGTGAAGGCCTGGGGGGATAGGGACTTCAGAGGAAATCGCAACACATATAGAGGTAACCAAAGAGGACAAAAGCAACCTCATTAGTCATGCCAAATATACTATTGCTCATCAGAACTTCAGTGCATCTTGTGCTGTTTCATGGCTACTGTTCCACATTCTTGTCACATATAAAAGCAAGGCTATGGCAAAGGGCTTTCATAGTGTTCTATGCAAGCACTTGGACATTCAGTCTCACCCAAACCCACACTAAATAACATGAGGCTGCAGTCCAAGCAAGGGAAGGGTACCTCATCCCATCATTTCAAGGTAAGTTCCTCACTGAGACCACAGGCTGCCAATGCCCCCTAAATGTATCTAGAAACATTCTAAAAAGGAACTTTCTGTAACAAACAGAGGCTGTGGTCTTAAGAGAAAAACTGACAATGTCCTCAGAAATGGACAGAGGCATGTGCTGTACACACAGAGTTCTTTGGGTCCCAGCCTAGGAGAGTATTTTTAAGGGAAAATACAATAAACTTTTTATTTTTACAACCAAAATGGTTTTTATTTATAAGCCATTGCATGCAAAAGATCAGATCCAAATAATTATTACACTCTCATGGCACGTTTCTTATTTGCATGTGCCATGGCTTACAAAATTGGGAACCAAGAGGGTGATTGTCAAACCACAGCAAGCAAAATCATTTAAAAATCAATATAGGAGTTCATAGCAATGAGACCGTTTCTCAAAAATTGGAAATGCTATCAGTTTACTAAGATAAGCCTATGAGATGGGTTTCCATTGGCAGTAGAGAAGACAAAGGCATCGTAGACACTCATCAGGACATTCCAGTTTAGGAACTGTGGATATACAGTATTTTAATGCACACCATTATCTAGTTGCACAATTACTGCGGCTACAACAGATCCGATATACAGTTTGTTTTATGGAAGATGTAGAATATGGTCTTAGGCAGTCAATGGGACCTTCCAGGTCTCACTCAATCAGCTGGCATAAAAATTATGGTAAAACATACACTTTTTTTGTATCATTCATCCAGAGATGGGAAAATGCATCAGCATGCTATTACTTTAGAACTTACCTTTCCTCCCTACTACATGATTCTTTTTCAAAATAGTGGAGGGCGGGGAAAGCAGATATTCAAAATAAAACCACATATACAGCTACAGGATCAACCTGAAATTAGTTTCCCTTTCACAAAAGAACCCATGATACTCTTGGAAGAAAGCTACTCTAATTTTACTGGGAAGAGAGTTCATGATTAATCAGGAAACATGATGTTCATGGGCTACCATTTGAGGTTGAGATAAACAAGCACAGAAGTAACAATTCAGCCGACAATCTAGATGCGCAAAAATAGCCATTCCCAGTTAAGTTGGTTGTACAGTATCTGGTTTGTCATCATTAATACATAAACCCATCTTAAAGTGAAATATCTGCATCACAACTTGTCACTGAAAATTGATGAGATCTTAATTTTTTTTACATAAATTATTGTGTTTGCTCTTGCAGATGCAAGAATTCAACACTGGAATTTCTCTCTCTTCTACTATACTGCTATTAGCTCACACTGACATTATAACACCGTAAACAGTTATCTGCAAGCAAAATGGAGTGGGGCTGGAGAAATGCACTGTCTGTAAAAGCTATGGCATTATATAAGGCAAATGGGGCTGGCTCAAGATTTCAGCTGGCCATATTTTGACATGAAATACTTCATTAAAGAAATAATGGCTGGAATCCTATTTGTGTCCTATAAAGTTTCAATTAACTTGCTGCAGGTAATTGTGGATAATTGATAAAGAGCAGGAACACATCTCTATTACTCAGCTGGGTGTAGAATCACGCATATGACCAATTATGTCTCAACACTTTGCCAATTAGATGTAGCCTATTATACAAACCTTACAGAAATACTAATAGGTTACTAATGCTGAGTTTTCAAACAGCTTGAATTCTTGTCTCTTCTAAACAGATGTCTTAGATGTCTTGTAAACAGATGTTCTGATTTCTTATGGTTAAGATTTTACTAAGAGCTGCAATATTTGAGAGGTATAGTTCTTTTTAATACATCTACATCTTTTGTATCCTTCTTCTCTAAGATGGCAGTTGTTACTTTTTGGTGGTACTGTACATTGCTCAGCTCTAAAATCATGGAAAACAAGAAAGCCAGGCAAACACTCTGATGATCTATCCATAGCTTGAAACATCTTACTTACACAACCTTTGAACTTCTTACTTACACATCCTTTGGACTTTTAAAACTTCCATCATCCAAGAAGTCACTAACAAGATGGTACAACAGAGGTAAAAAGTCAAAGAACACAATGGGAAATAAACCCAAGTTGCCTTAGTGCAAGACTGCAATAATAATGCTGAGTAGACCTCTCCACAACCATCACTATTTAATTATTTAATATATTTTTTTCTAAACAGTCTTTGAAACTCACCATATAATTGACATAAAATAAGTTAGTGATTTATATTGCAAACATGTTAGGGAAGATGTGTTTTTCACTTCCAAAGACTTAAAATGTAAAGCCAAGCTGAAAATCCCAGTTCCAAATATCATCTGTAAGACCCTGAAAACTAAAAGCATCATAGAACTAACATGTTCTCAAGAGAATGAACTACAATGGGCAAAAGTTACAACTGCAATAGATACACACATCTTGGCATGATTATCCCCTCAATTCATTCCCACTAGGCATCACCATAATTCTGTAATTAAAAAGAGGAACCAAGAGCTCTTGTATTCCCTCTGTATTACTCCCATGTGACCCTGTTTGGAGAATTTGGTTTAGTGCAGAATATTGAAAAGCACAAAAAGTACCAACATCTATTAACACACCATTTAGTTTCTACACACTTTAAAAATTATTGCATAGTTTATGCATTACTCTAAAATACTACCCTCCTTATTAAAGAGTTTTTTAATAAAAATCATACAGCTGTCAATGCATTTAGAGCATTGACTACCTTGATCTTCTATCTTTTTTTGATTTGTCTGTACATTTATCCATAGTCTTTTCATTGTCTCCTCTGCACTTAGGGCAATACCATTTTCCCTTTGGTTTATAAGTGAGTCCAACACATGAAAAATGAAACCATTCAATGGGACATAGTTCATTGTCACACCCTATCATTTCTCCATAAGATACTTGGTCACAGAGACAGTAAGTTGGTTCATTAGGGTCTACTGCAAAGTCTACTGGTGAGGCTTCCCTTTCCTGTTTAGCTTTAGAACGTTTCTTTTTCTTAGCAGATTTAGATCGCTTTTCTTTAGGTGGCTGCTCATCATATTCATCAATTCCATTTGCTATATGGCATATATCACGGCTCTCACTAGTGCGCTGTCTACGGGGCCTGCGTGAAGATCTCTCTGGCTGACATGGATCCACTTTTGACTTTTCAACTGGCTTTTCAGTGTCTGATAGATCCTGGAAACACTGAGAGTGGGTCTCTATTTGCCGCGCTCTGTTCTCCACCAACTCAAGCATCTGAGTAACTATTTGGATTTTCTCATCGCCAAGCTCTTGACTGTTGATAAGGGCTCGCTGAAGATGCTGCTGCAAACGCTTTTTCTGGGCAGGATCATCTTCACTTTTGTATTTCTCATACACTTCATCAATTTCTTTCAATGCTTCTGTTGAAAAGAAATATTAAATTTAAAAAATCATTAACTAGAATTCCCGGTGCCACTGCTTTCAGGTTGGCCAGCAGTTTATATTATAAAATGAAAATGATAGTATATGCAAAGGTTTAATAGGGTACAGCTTTCATATTATTGCACTACTTTAGGACTAAGAATCATGGCATGTCAAAAGTTTCTTGTGAAATATAATAAAACTATAAGAAGCTATCCAGGACACTGAGACTTAATGTATAATTTATCATATAAGACAAAAATTATGAAATGATTACTTCACCGAACAAGAACTCATCAATACTAATGAATGTTCTGTAAAATTATACCCACTGAATTCACTGAAACTTATTTTTTCCTAGATTCCTTTTGTTGTCTCTGAAATGAGGAAGGGTCAACTGTTTCTTTTTCTACATTTTGCATATTGTACAGTGGTATACTTCAGTATCCAACATCAATACTCACAACATTCTTCCCACTTGAAAACACTGCTCTAGTGGCATTCCTAGCTTTCTAGAGCAAATTTTAAGGTACATGTGGAAATGCAAAAGGAAGAGAGGAGTCATTAGCTCTTACAGAGGCAACACAATCCAAGGGAAACGTTCCACTGAATCTTGGCCTCTGTGAGTAGATGTACAAGGAAGACACTACCACATATTCTTAGCGCAAAAGTGATATAAAACACCACCTTCGTCACTCAAGTATTATCTCCACTTTTGTATGCTGCACTATCCTAGAGAAAACGACATCCCACCCATTTATTCACTATTCACAGTCACTAAAAAAGGACAAACAAAACACATTATTTCAAGAGTAGTTGCAAGTACAGGTGAAATGTGAATAAAGAAACTGACTTGTGGTGAATAGCAGGAGTGATATGCTCTTCACCTAGGCAGCCTAACCACTAGTACAAAAAGAGGCTTGCCTACTCACCTTACCTACTGTAAGTACAGCCTGCTTACAGGGGCCAGATTTATACTCAGCCCTGGAACTTGTCTGCCTGCTTAGCTAAACCTGGTCTGCCTTGCTTGGGAAATGAAGGGCACATAAGCTTAATGGCTCTCCAGTGACTACCGTTCCTGCCTAATGTATTTGCTTATTGGGGGTTGTAAAGAAAGATGTGTGTGTGTGTGTGAATAGTGACCTTTATTCCAGGCACTCTTTGATGCTGAGTGTCACCAGAACCCAAGGAGAAGGATCTCTGCCCCTATAGGTATTATAACCCACCCTCCCCCTATGTATTCCTGACGGCTTCAAACAGATATTTGACAGCAAGCATCCTCCTAACCTCGCTCTATTCTACTTGTGGAAAAGGAGTGTGTGGGGGGGGAACGGAAGGGAGGGTGATGACGGGCAGCAGAAGCAGCCACCCATCTCTACTCATCTACCACCACCCCCCTCAAGTTCATAGCGAGGTTCAAGGCGAGTATTCCTTGATGGAGGGGGGAGGCACGGAGAGGGTAGCCATTTTCTCTCACCCCTCCAAACGTCTAGCGAGGGGAGGAGTGACTTGTGAATCGCCCCTCCCCTCCCACAGAAAGGGCGGCTGACTGAAGAGGATGGGGCGAAAGCACGATCACTGCCCGCCTCCATCGCATTCTCTCTCTCTCTCTCTCTCTCACACACACACACACACATAACCCCACAACTCACCCCGGCAGCGCGTGTCCATCTCCCTCAGGAGCGAGGCCAGCCTCTGCATGTCCAGCGGCAAAGACTCGACGCACTCCAAGTAATCCTGTACATAGCGCGCCAGGAGCCTCTCGGACACTC